ACAGTGATCCAACAGGCTGGGTCCAACCAGAGCCCAGAGAAGAAGCTTGGGCTGGGAAGGGTTTTGTCCAGAGTCTGTCATTTTGGCTCTACTGAAGCAGCTATTGTCTTCTCCCTATTGGCTCCGTAAGCAGAAAACAAAGCAGCCTTGCATCATGAAGAAGAGATTCTGTTGTATGAACTGTCCAGACAGGCACACTGGCTGTAGAATAGAATCCTCTGTCAAGCACTCCACTCAGAAGTTCCCAGTGTGTTGCTGAAAGACTCCCAAACTGGCTTAGCCTGGCTTGCTTTATGAATTCTTCTGACTGTGGGAAGGTGCTGAGAGATCCTCAATCCTCAAAATGGCGATTAAGCAAGGCCAAATGGCCTAGCATAGGAGTGGGGCTTATGGTAGCTGCCCAGCTTCTGATTGGAAGTGGACAGAGTGAGCTTTGGCAGGATCTGGGCCTCCCTGGATAAGGTGATTAATAATTGTTCCTATATGTCAGCTGTCACTGGTACACACTGTTGGTCCTTTCTGACCCTCTGGGTGGGGTTGAGACACCTGCCAGGTCCTAAGCATCCTGTCCTGTTAGTAAGGTGACTACCGTGGCCAGAGCCCTGCCTTTGCCAGCTCAATACCTGCAGCCCCACTCCTCACTGTGGTGTTCAGTGAGCAAGAGGGTTGAGGAGACTCGTGATGCATGTGTGAGGTTTCTGTGGGGCTGAAACTGCAGTGTTGGGAGCCCTGTTTTTCCTCCCAGCAACAGACCAGGCACTACAATTTGTATCTGAAATGTCTCCTAAGTGTCTCATGAGTTTGAAAGTTGATTGGTTTGTTTGGGGCCTGTCCTGACCATTGAATTCATTCATTGGTGAGTTCAGTGTCTGGATGTGCTGTTTGGGTGTGAGGACTTGTTGGAGATGGGTCACTAGAACCAAGGCCTGGAAAAGTGTATTCTTATTTGCACCTCCTCCCACCCTTCCCTCCTTCCAGGCTGCATGGCTTGAGTACATTTTCCTTCACCATGCCATTTTGTCATGTTTCTACCTTGGGTACAGCAGACCAAGAACTGAAATTAGGCCAGTGTAAACTCCTCTAAGTTGTGGGTGTTTGATGTTTTATCAGAGTAACAAGAAAGTGGCTAAGCTACCTAATTACGCTAAATTTGTTAAAAGCTTAGATACAGGGTCTCAAATCTTCAAGTTGTATCCTCCAATTTGGACTTCATTGTGATGACAGTAAAATCCAGAATTTCCGAACACCTCTACAATTCCAGAGTTATTATAGGGTTTTTACAAATGGCATAAAAATTGAAAAGAATGTTTAACATTGCCTGTGATGAGGTTCAGTGTTAGGGACCTGGCAAGCCTGCTTCGACTACTGTGTTATATCCAGAGCAATGCAATAAATACATAAATAAAAAATTGCTTGCAGTTTAGGATTCAAAAAAATGGACAGAAGTTATCAATGTAAAGAAAGAAAGATGAAAGTAATGCTATAAAGGACAATTTCCAGAAAGGCTGAGTGTTAAACCTAATCTTTGAATCTCCTTGAAGTAGGGCAGCCACAGATGATTTGTGAATGGGTGAAAAAATAGAAAAGCACCATTTTTCACATAATTGCTATAGTTCATGGATAGTTTATAGACATTGTCTTAAAAATGACATGCTAGCCAGGTGTGGTGGCACCTGCCTGTAATCCCAGCACTTGCAGGGCTGAGGCAGGAGGATTGTTGGGAGTTCAAGTTCAGCCTGGCCTACACAGTGATTTCAAGGCAGTCTGAACTACAAAGTGAGACCCTGTCTCAAAAACTGACATGCTGAATGGGGTAGGATAATGAGTAAAAGCAGTATTGCAGCAGGGGGAAAGCACCAAGTGTCGGTCTGCAAACATGTCAGTAATTAGGCATAAAATGGTGTTATGTGTAGGGAGGAGCAAAGTGGAGTAGATCCAGTGTGAGAAAACAGGAGATGATGGTGGCTGGCAAAATCAGCTCCTGAACCAGTGGTTTTCCTCTGAAAATGTTTAGTGGGAAATTGAGGGGTGGGCTCTATTCTGGCTCAGTCTGAAAGTAGCTCAAAATCTCAGGCTTGAAAGAAAGATAGAAATTTACATAAAGTTATATAAATAATTCTTTTGTTACTGCTAAGTTCACCCTATCATTTCAGAGGCATAATTGGAAATTTTATCTCACTGTTAGTAGCATAAAAACTGGTTGGGCAATATTATCTAGGTGTAATGGGGAGGGTGTTGCACAGGAATAGAAATGATTACAAAGTGTTTTTTGTGGTAGAGGGTTTTGGCCCAGGACCTTCACTCTGAGGAACATCCAGGCCCTTTACATTTTTAGTTATCATTATTTTGAATTTTGCCACTGGGTCTCACTGCTCTGAGCTTAAAGCCCTTATCCTTTTGCCTCAGCCTCCCAGAGCAGTGTGATCACAGGTGTGGATCAGCAAGCACAACTATATACCTTGATCCTGGTGCTTGGTTAAATTAAACGTCAATTATTTGTTTTTATGTCAAAAATGTCACTTTTTCCCATTGTGAATGTGTGGGTGCCATTCTGAAAGACATCTTTGGAACTGCCTTCCCCTAGATAAGTGTCTGTGAATTTGAGATTAGTTGTGTGTGTAGTATAATTTTTTTAAATGGAGGAGCAAATCTAAGACTATTATAATTTTTCAAACAATAGGAATGTTCATCCCTTTTTTCTTTTGGTACCAAGGATCGAACTCGGGATCTTGCACTTGCAAGGCAGGTGGTGGAACCACTGAGCTAAATCCCCGGCCTGTTCATCCCTTTTTATCGTAAGCCAGTTTAAGCAGTATATTCATTTCTGTTAATGGGGTGACTCAGTGTGCCACCCCTTGATAACTTCAGAATGATGCTTCATAAAAACAACATCACATACTTTGCACACCAGTCTTCACTTGAAGCAGTAAAGCACTCTGAATTTGTCAGTTTGGGTCACTCTGGGTGGTGCATTGATTTGGGGACCACCATTTTTTGGAGAATTGCTTAGTGCTCAGCAAGCAATACATGTTAGAATTCAAAAGAAAAATTGGGAAAAGGCAAAGGTCAGCCTTAACTGACTGTGGGTATTTATCTCTACTCAGAATTGAGACTGAGGACATGAAATTTCACCCTGTGAAGATGGCCAAGCAGGAGGTGAAGATGCCCCAGATTTAAATTATGCGACTTCTCATATTTCCCTGTCTCACCACCTGTGATTGAGCTGCCCTAGGCTGCATGGGGACAGTGTGTTGTGTACAACCTCAGGAGTTCAACCTTCTGAGTGTGGATTCTTTTGTGAACTTCAGTGAAGCAGGCTTTGTCCCTAACCAGCTTCCCCTTTGGTTCTTTTGCAGCAAGTTGCTTGTATAAAATTCAAGTTGCCTTAAGGACTTATGAATTTATTTTCATGATTTAACCATAAGATTCTGATTTTCCTAGTTAAAAATGGAGTAGAGGGGCCAGGGATTTAGCTCAGTGGTTCTGGCACCTACCTTGCAAGCGCAAGCTCCGAAGTTCGATCCCCGGTACCAAAAAAAAAATGGGAGTAGAGAATTGTTTATATTTGATGAAACAAAGGAAAATTTAGAAGCAATTTTGTTGTTGTTGTTTTTGAGACCAGGGTCTCACTGTGTAGTTCAGGCTGGCCTCATACTCATGGCGACCCTCCTGCCTCAGCCTCCCAAGTGCTGGGATTATTGATGTGCACCACCATGCCTGGCTTTAAAGTAAAAAATTTTTTTGCATTTCTTATATGTATGTATGCCTAAAGATCCATAGAATCATGATGCAAGCGAACAAACCACTTATGGTTACTTCCAGTGCATCTCTCTGATTTCATCTAGCTACTCTCAAGATGGCCACAGGATGGATTTTTGCAAATCTCTTTGGACCATAACAGTCTCATCAAGAAAAGTATTACTTGGTTTAAATTCTTTGGAGTTTTGGATACTTTAATAATTGAGGTTAATATATCACTATTATCATGCTGAAGAGATCATTCATGGTTTCTCTGCCTCAGCTTATTGCCCATAGGATTGTAGGGAAATTTATTTCAGACATTTCATTCTCTTATTCCACTGCCTCTGGGATTGGGTTATTTCAAGTTAGTTTTTTTAAAAAATTTTTTGATGCAATTAAAATATTATTATTGATTATTTTCTTCAAATGATAATAAATTAAAATTTCTGATAGAATAAGAAAAGATGCTGGCATGCAGATGAAAAAATTCAAGATTTTTACAGAATTTTCATATGAAACTTTTATGTTTTGCCAACATGTGGAATAGTTTAATTTATTTATATTTGTCCATCTAGTATATTTTATATTTCTGTGGTTTTTGTGGTCTTATATTTATTTCATCTAGTGTTGAACATTTTTCATATATGCACTTTTAACATTTGTATAACCAGGACCAGGGATTTAGCTCAGAGGTGCCACCACCTGCCTCACAAGCACAAGGTCCTGAGTTCAAACCCCGGTACCAAAAAAACCAAAAAACCAAATAATATTTGTATAACTGTCACGGTAAACCTTGATTATGTTGTAAGATTCACAATTTCCACTCCGCTTATTTATACCTGATTCATAATTACACGGCATATTCTTTTTTTTTTTTTTTTTTTGGTACCGGGGATCAAACTCGGGTCCTTGAGTTTGTGCAGCAGGCGGCAAAACCACTGAGCTAAATCCCCAGCCCCATGACATATTCTTGTATATTAAGCTAGGGATATACTCGGTGGTACTTTATCTTAGTAGTTCCATTAGTTTTTTGTTGATACTTTAATTTTTCCAACATATATCATGAAATTATATGCAGAGGAAGGCAGTTTTATGTGTTTCGTCTTAACTTCTGCCTATTAATTTCTTTCTTGTGTTTTGTCTGTATCCATTGATATTATTTTATAATTTTTGTCTGTAGATTTTATTGTAATAAATTACATTAGTTATTTAATAATGCCTTTGATACTTTTAATAATTTCTTCTCTATTGTCTATAACCTACATTAATAATGAGCAATGAAATCTATTATCTGGGGAGTGATTTTCATTTTTATGTTGCTGTTCTTTCTCTAGCTTTCTTGTTTGTGTGTACATGTGTAGTTTTATTGTAACAAAGCAACTTGAGCACTTTGAATGTTTAAAACTGCACATTACCTTTTACTTTCCAGAGAAAACAAAGAAGAATTTTAAAATAAACCAAAAGTACAATATAGAATGTCATTTCAAAATAAGACCCTTCATGCTCTGCTGATTCTCCCATCGAGTGCCAGGGCTCAAGTCATCATTAGGAAAGAATTTTATTTTAAAAGTGACATCTTAAACTGCAAGGTTGTCCGTTAACATCACAGCTAAACATGCCAAAGGAGAAACCATGTTGTCAAATGTCCACTTAACCCACCCAAACATCTCAAACCCACCTTTGCTGATCTTCTATACCCCATTTTTTAAAGTTTATTTTTTTTAAACTAGAGGAAGTAGACAGGTACGTGCTGGTAAATGCTAACTGTCCATATTCACCTAGAGACAACAGTGTAATCTCTGAGACCAAATACAGAGAAAAGAGGAAAAAAGCTAGAATTCTATGCACTACTGCACAGGGGCCAAGCACCCTCCAGCTTCCAGCAGAGCAAAAGGAGCGGAAAGATTTTCTTTTTTCTGCCACAGAACACGGTGGTGTTAAATCCATACAATTTGTGTGGAGACAGGAGGAAATCAAAATGAATTTAAAACAGAAGGTTGTAGACATTCTTTTCCCATTGTATTCTGTTCGAGGTATCTCCCCACAGAGTAAGTCCAGAACCATAGTGTTTGAGAAAAGAGGCTTCTAGAACAGTGCTATTGAGACAAAAGGGCGAGGGAAGACTGCAACTTGCTCCCAGGGACTGGAGAAAATTTTTAAAAAAAGAAAGAAAGAAAGAAAAAAGAAGGTTGAAATCCATCAGTATTCAATTAGTCATCTTCTTCATCCTCCTTCCTGCCCTTCATCATCAGCTTCATCTTCACCTTCATCCTCATCCCTTTCTTCATCAGTGTCTTCCAGTCCTCCTTCATCATCGTCATTGTCTTCTTCTCCTTCCCCTTCCTTATCATCCATATCAGGAACCAAGTGGTACTGTAATGGATTTAGCGAAATAGCATCTTTGATGACCTCTCCTAATGCATCTGCCCGCATCAGAACAGTCAGGAAAGTGGGGAAAGAAGCTCTCGGGTGCTCCATGCTGCCTCTTCCCACTGGCTTTATTCCACATTTGACTTGAACGTTTCGTGAAATCCTTTCCAGATTTCCATTTGATTTCAGTGGACTTTGAAGATGGATTGTCACTCTTGATCAGATGAAATATTTTGGAGAGAACTTTTTTCAAAGTAAAGATTTTCATCAAAATAAAAATTATTCTGGAACCTGATTTTATATCTTTGAATTCTGTCACTGCGACTCTGGTCAAATAATGCAGTGCCTCTCTTCATCTTCCTCCCCAAGCAGTGCAGACACAGGTGGATGGTTAACAATGTTTTTACCCCAAAGTTTGGGATTTTGGCGATCAGTTCTGACCTCTTCTGAAAAAATGGTTGGCGGAGATTGTTATATTTCTGTCCTGCTTTCACTGTCTCCTCACTGGCTTCTCCATTAAGTCTATTTCATTTTGTACCTCATCCATATGGTCAATTGGTTCGTGTTCTTTTTGTCATGGATGAAGTTGAGCTCCTTACTGATTTTGGCCACTGGCCTGCATGTGCTGCTCCTTGGTTGGGGAGCAGGGAGCCAAGAGAAGGAAGGCGAAAGAGCGGGCAGTAAGCTCCCTCAGCCACAGGTGCTGGTCCCAGCTCTGTCTGGCCTTCTCCCTGCGTGGCTCCCTCCCTCACTACTCACTGCTCAATCTCCCTGAGCCACCACCTCCTCCTACAGTCATTTTTTGAGATTTGTGTTCATTATCTTTTCAAAATTTTTATACTGTGTACACAGCAAATATTTTCTTCTTGTCTGGTTCATTTCCTGTGGTTTTCATATATTTCTATTTATCCAATTCTGATAGTTGATTTTGTCCTGAGAAAACACTTTTTTCACACCCAAAGGTTAGTTCATGATGAATTCTCAAGGCATTCAAGTTTTTCTTTCCCATTTCAGTATGCAACTTAATTATTGTACATAGAAGGTATACAGGTTTCCACGTACATACCTGTTTCTCCCTGAACATAAATGAACACATTGCGATTTCCTCCAGAGACATGTAACACCAGCTCTATCATGAGTCAATATTCTATAAACATGTGGACCCATTCAAGACTGTCTTCTTTTCCTGATATCCACTTGTCATTCTTTCTACTAGTAGTACAATCTCATGAAAGGTGAAATTTGGAATGTCTTTCATGTAATTATGTAAGCTATCAACCTTCTTGCTTAAAAGGTATTGAATATGGTTAGCTTCTTATTATACTATAAAACTATAAATTTTATCAAATGTAAGATGTCATTCATAAGTGACAATTTTTTTATGAAGTCATCCTTTGAGGGGGGTAGTTTGAGGCAGGGTCTCACTTTGTATTTCAGACTGGCCTTGAATATAAATTGTAGCCAAGGCTGGCCTCAAACTCTCATGGCAGTCCTGCATCGGCCTCCCAAGTGCTAGGATTACAGGCACACACCACCACACCTGGCTAAAGTTTTCCTTTTGTGCCTAATTACTTTGTGATATGTTTTTCAATGCACATAATACATTTTATTCATCTCTTTCCCCTCATTACTTTCCCATATCCCCCTAGAATTTCTTGTATCTGAGTGCAAGGTTACCATTTGATGACACTGTGTTATAAGATAAAATCCCAACCTTTGCCTATTTTCAATGTTCATAGACTTGTTCAAATAAAACTGGTTTTCCATTAACATTTTAATTATTATTCATAAACCTTGTTTGATGTTCAAGTATGGTTTTTTATGAAACCAAATTCAAGTTTCAAAATGCTGCCCAAGTACAAAGAAAGAAAGACTCAGTGCCATAAATAATAAGATTTGAAAAGAGGTATTACCTATGGTCTATCAAACCATTCATTAGGTAATCATCTGCCCCAGTGTTTTATGGGTGGTGATCTTGTGCACTGCCTCTATGAGCTGTGCTTTAGAGACAGTGCACAGGTACGCTTGCAATGACCCAGCAGGAGGACCAGTGCTCCTGTTCTGCTGTTGTTTTAGCAATGAGTGGCAATCTAGCATCAGAATTGCTCTCTGAAAAAATGTGCATACACATAGATTTGATGACCGAGATGCAGAGTTGATATTTAAAGGATTCAGCCCCCATTCAGCTTTTTTGTTTTGTTTGCTTTTTTGAGATAGGGTCTCCCTGTGTTGTTCAGGCTGGTCTTTAACTCAGTGTGTCACCCACACTAGTCTTGAACTGGTGGAAATCCTTCTGCCTCAGTGTCCTGTGAGCTGGGATTATAGACATGCATCACCACACCTTGCTCTCAATTCAACATTTTTTTTTTTTGGGTATCGGGATCGAACTTGGGTCCTTGCGCTTGGGAGGCAGGCGGTGGAACCACTGAGCTAAATCCCCGGCCCTCAATTCAACTTTTTAAGAGAGGAATTGAGATATCTCAGGCTGTGTCAGCCTTCCTTCAAGAAATATATGTGTGATCATTTAGGAGGCAGTAACCTTTGAGGATGTGGCTGTGAACTTCAGCATGGAAGAATGGGCTTTACTGAATCCATGCCAAAAGAAGCTCTACAGAGATGTGATGGAGGAAACCTTTAGGAACATGGCTGCTATAGGTAAGTATGACATCAGTTTCTCATTTATACAATAAGAATGTTGTTTGTTGCTCATCAGTGCAGTTTCATTACATAGAATGTGAAAACATTTTGAAGAATATCTCAGCCTGTTTATGTTATACAATGAATCTAACTGGAATCTATTCATATTTATATAATAATACAGTGTCTCCTTATATTTCTATGTCTATAATTCAGGAAGAGCCTGGGAAAACCAGGAAGTTGAAGAAGTGTACAAAAATTACTGGAGAAATCTAAGGTAATTTGCACTTCAAAGAAAAAGGAATGTTCCTCAAGAGTCAATGTGTGAAGAGGAATATCACAACAAGGGAAATGTGGTCATGTTCAAATTTATTTAATCTTACAAGTATTCTCCAAAGATGTATATACTTTTAGTATGTATAATCTGATAACTGAATACAGAAATATTCCAATATAGTTAGTACTTACATCATTCAACAAGTAACACTATCTCACATATAAGTATAAAAAATGTTCTTTCTTTATTACCTTCATGACAATGTATGAAATTGCATTTAGGTATTGTATATAGGTGTATATGAAAAGAAATGAATTTTAAGGTTTTTTTAAAATTTTGTTTTATTGGCACATTTTAGGTATACAATATAATGACATTCATCATTGGAAATTTGCACCTTTACATAATCTCTCTTGGTTCTTATTTTTCACCC